TGGAACTGAAATCCAGTGGTGATTTAAACCCAAAGTATGTGATAATTTGTATCCTTCTTCCAAAGGTATATGGTACTAGGTTCTGATAGAATAAATCATCTCCATAACAACTGTTGTTTTCCTTAGTAATGCTTTCTTCTTCTTCTTCTTCTTCTTCCTCCTCCTCCTCCTCCTCCTCCTCTTCCTCTTCCTTCTTCTTCTCTGTCTGTCTGTCTGTCTGTCTCTCTGTCAGTGAAGGGGCTTGAACCTAGGGCCTGGGTGCTGTCCTTGAGCTTCTTTTGTTCAAGGCTAGTGCTCTACCACTTTGAGCCACAATACTACTTCTGGTTTTGAGTGGTTGACTGGGATAAGACTTGTCTCATGGGCACTTCTGCCCTGGCTGGCTTTGAACTGTGATCCCCAGATCTCAGCCTCCTGAGTAGCCAGGATTACAGGCCACTGGTGCCTGGCTTATTCAGGCTTTCTTAAAAACAGTGAACATGGTGTTTTGTTACGAAACTGGTGGTTATGTTGTAATCCTAGTTACTCAGGAGGCTGAGGATCCTGGTAAGAAGCCAGCCTGGGCAGGCTGGAAGTGAAAGTGTGGCTCAAGTGATAGAATGCCAGCCTTGAGTGGAAAAGATAAAGGATAACACCCAAGCCCTGAATTCAAGCACCAGTACCAGTGCCAGCGCACACACGCGCGCGCGCACACACACACACACACACACAGTGCTAACAATTAGAAAAATTAAAATTAAAAGGCAATCTAGAGAATATAACGGGCTATTTCTAAAGTTAAATTTTATTCTCAAATGTCAGGTGTGTGTATGTATTTAAATTGTCCATTTACGTGATATAGTCGCATAAAGTCACAGTCTGACGTAGTAAAGAAAGGCGGCACAGAAGAGGCTTAGGAAAACAAGGTATATTTCATCACATGATCTTTGCAAGTGTGCATGTCTGTGTGCCGGCCCTGCGGCTTGAACTCAGGGCCTAGATGCTGTCCCTGAGCTTTTATGCTCAAGGCTAGTACTCTATCACTTGAGCCACAGCTCCACATCTGGCTTTTGGTGGTTCATTGGAGATGAGAGTCTCACAGACTTTCCTGCTGGGCTGGCTTCAGCCAAGATCTTCAGATCTCAGCCTCCTGTGTAAGTAGGATTAACAGGCATGAGCCAACAGTGCCCAGCTCACCTTTTCTTTCTTTCCTTTTTTTTTTTCTGTCATTCATGGGGCTTGAACTCTGTGCCTGGGAGCTGTCCCTCAGCTCTTCAGTTCACGGCTTGCTCTCTACCACTTGAGCCACAGCACCACTTCCAGCTTTTTTTGCTTATGTGGTGCTGAGGAATGGAACCCAGAGCCTCATGCATGCGAGGCAAGCACTCTACCACTGAGCCACCTTCCAGCCCACCTTTTTCTTTCTTTTTTTTTTTTTTTGTCATTCATGGGGCTTGAACTCTGGGCCTGGGTGCTGTCCCTCAGCTCTTCAGTTCATGGTGAGCTCTCTACCACTTGAGCCACAGTGCCACTTCCAGCTTTTTTTGCTTATGTGGTGCTGAGGAACGGAACCCAGAGCCTCATGCATGCAAGGCAAGCGCTCTACCACTGAGCCACCTTCCCAGCTCACCTTTTTCTTTTAATGGTGCTGGGGATGGAACCCAAGGCCTAGCCCAAGCTAAGAATGCACTGTACCATTAACCTACCTCCCTAACTATAGAGGACTTTTCTTAGAGTTTCTATGAAAAAGTCTGAATAATTCTAGAGGGGTCTAAGGTCTAGAAGAGGTCCCAGTTACCTGTTAGCTGGCCCTGTGATAATTAAGGAAAAACAATAGTACCAGATTAGTCTGGAAATATGGCTCAAGTGGTAGGGCTACTGTCTAGCCACATAAATCCCTAGTTCAATCACCAGTACCACAAATAGGTATGGCTCTGGGTTGGCTTATCTGCATTTTGAGAGCAAGCTACCATCAAACCTTTTGCTATCCCTCAGCATAGCCTAGCCCTGTGAGGGCAGTTTCTTCTTAGAAAAGTTTTAAGTATGTTAAAATATAATATATAGCAAAACGTTTAAACAAAAGCAATATACTAACTGGGCACCAGTGGCTCAGGGTTATAATCTTAGCTACTCAAAAGGCTGAGATTTGAGGATCATGTTTCGAAGCCAGCCTGGGCAGGAAAGCCTGTGAGACTCTTATCTCCAATTAACCAGTAAAAAGCTAGGTGGGTAACTGTTCCCCAGTAGCTTTTTGAAAGCAGGAGGACAGGCTGGAGGCCAGCCTTAGCCAGAGCAAGTTCCAGGTGAGCCCAGGTTATGAGACCCTATTTCAGGAAGAAAAGGGAAAGTGAGGGAAGGAAAGTCAGAATCTCTCAACAACATAGCTTTATTTATTTTTTATTATCAAGCATTGAATTTAATGACTTCCAGGGAGAACAAAAAGTATATTAACTGGAGTGGAAAACTCGGGAATTTAGTAAGAGCTGAATGGCTTCTAGAAGTTCCAAAATCAAGTAGTTAAATTCTAAAGCAGATAGCTAAAGTCACAATATTTAAGAGAGACAATTTCCCTTCTTTTGGAGAAGTGAGGTTGAGGGGAGTTTGGGATTGAGATCCCATCTTTTGGTTAAACTAATTTTTTTTACAGAAGTGCTATTAAAATCAAGGTCAAAATAGAAATATATAGTGAGCTTTTGTTTTTCTGCACAAGGTTCTGCACTAAAAACTATAGATAGATAGCTGGGTGCCAGTGCCTCACACCTGTAATCCTAGTTACTCAGGAGGCTGAGATCTGAGGATGGTAGTTCAAAGCCAGGCCGGGCAAGTAAAGTCCGTGAGACAAGTAAAGTCCGTGAGACTCAAATTAACTACCAGAAAAACAAAAGTGGCTCTGTGGCTCAAGTAGTAGTTTGCCTTGAGCTAAAGAGCTCAGTGACAGCACCCAGGCCCAAAGTTCAAGCCTCACAACCAACAAAAAAAAAACAACAACAAAAAAAAAAAACAACCCTATATATAGAGAGAGCACTGGAAAAAACAAGGACATGGTTCCTTTTACAAAATCTTTACAGACAGAGAGCAGGAAGTAACATTTTTGAAAATTAGATTAAAGATCTTACTATGTGTTTGAGAACACCTTTGAGAGCACACACATTTTTCACACTAACTTTATTCATTTGCAAACTCTACAAACTACTGGGGATTATGAACAAAGCTTTTCAGGAGCTGGAAAGATGATTGTGCCCAAACAGCAAGTAAGGCAAAGGCTTGGAATCTTGCCAAAATTCCAGCTCTCCCTGCAGAAGCTGATTGAGACTGAAAGATCCTTACTTTTAGTCTGTGCTGTTTGTCTGCTCAATTAGGTACCATCTAAGAATGCTTGGAGTAAAGAGGGCAAATAAACATTTTTCTTCCATAATTTGCAGTGAAGAAACAAGGTCCTGAGCCCTCCTTGGTTACTTGTTAACAGATAGCAGGAAGAAAAATTTATCAACTTTTTCCGATGGGTGTCTGGATATAACCAAACTTGTGCTTTTTAAAGTTTAAGACCTGCACTACAGATCAAATGGATTGTGATCATTAAGTGTAACTGAGAAAGTAGTAAATTTGATGGAAACACTCTCAAACACAAGGCTGTGTATCGGGCCAGGCTTTGGAATCCATAATGAAAAGACTTAGAAGATGTTATTACTGTGCTGTGATGTAGCTCCGTGGCAAAGCAACTTGCCTCACAAGTGCAATGTCCTGGATTCCACCCCCAGTACCAAAAAAGAAAAGACAAAAAAAAAATACAGCTTAAAAAAAAGCCCAAACAAAAGAAGGTGTTAGTGATTTTTGCTGACTGGTCACAAATTCCAAATGCACAGATAACTTGAGTCTTAGTTTTGCTAACTATGAGAGAGACATTTCCTCAACGGTATGCAAGTTAACCACCAAGCCCTTCTTTCCATCAATGGTTTAGTTTATTTGCATAATAATTAAGCAACTATATAAAAGCAAGTCAAACCCACGCTATGTATTGTTTTACTCCCACTTTAAGCATGATGGCTATTGCTTGTGGAAATAATTTAGTCATTGACTTAGTAAGAAAAATAAAATAGTTAAGAACTATAATGACCTATTTAAATACTAAATGATTCCAATTTAATATTTGTTTGGTTTTGTTCTGGTCCTGAGGCTTGAAACTCGGGGGCTGGGCACTATCTCTGAGCCTGTATGTTCAAGGCTAGTGTTCTATCACTGGAGCTCCAGCTCCGCTTTTTGGAGGCTAATTGGAGATGTGAGCCCGAGTAGCTAGGATTACAGGTGTGTGTGATCCACCAGCACCGGGCTAATTTGGCTAATTTAACACCTTTCTAAATAACTAGCAAACATATACTAAGTTCCAAATACAGGAAAAATTTCAAATTAATCGCGCTTCTCTGCTTTTTTTTTTTTTTTTAACACGTATTAGGAAAACTCCCTTTGTGGGAGGTGGAGCCCCCTTTGTGGGAGGAGGGATTGAGCGTAAAGACGCCACACTCGGACCCAGGGAAGCACTGTCCCCCTCAACCAGGCAGAAAAGCCAGAAAAGCAAGCGCGCGTGCTGCTGATACTTTACAAACCTCTCTGTTTTAATAACATGCACAGCTTTAAAAACACACTCATGCTCACGGACTGACAAAACCAACCCAGCGTACCAGATGCATGCATGGACACAGCGCGCGGACCCGCAGGACCCGCAGGACCCGCGGGAGCCGCCGGCCCCGCACCGGGAAGGCCAGCGCGCAGCATCCCGCGGCGGGACGCGCCAAGCCGGGGAGGCCGTTCCCTTAGCGCGAGCCTCCGCGTCCTCCCACTCCGCCTCCCTCGGAGGAGGTCAAGGGTCGGGACACGGAGTCAGTAACCTCGGAGGCTGCGAGGTTCACGTCACCGGAGTAGTTCACGAATTGTCTTTCAAGAAATCACAGACGGATCGCCAGCCCCTGCGCCCGCTGGGGGAGCGAGGGGAGGCTGGAGGGGCTCCCGCGACTCGAACCCGCGTCCTAACTGGCCATCGGGAAGGGCTCCGGCTGGAAGCCGAAGAGCCTCGGGCCGTAGGGCTCGCCGTCGCCCTGCAGCTTGGCGCCCGCGAAGGCGAGGTAGTGGTCGCGGCCGAAGTGCTCGCAGTGGAGGCTGGACCAGTCCCGCTCGGAGCCGAAGCGCTCGGCCTCGGCCAGGATGCGGGTGAGGGCCATGATGTAGCTCAGCGCCATCTGCAGGGTCTCGTACTTGGACAGCTTTTTATCCTGGCCCCACTGGGGCACCACCCTTCGCAGGCGGTCGAAGGCGGTGTTGAGCCCCTGCATGCGGCGCCGCTCGCGCGCGTTGGCCGCCAGGCGCCTGCGCGCCGCGCTCTCCAGCCGCCCGGCCCCGGCGCACGCGCCTGCGCACTCGGCTCCGCCGGCGGCGCACGGGGCTGCTGCGGCGCGCGCGGCCGCCAAAGACCCGCTGGGCTTGCAGGAGGACTTCATCCCCGGGGCTGGCGGCGGGAGGGGCGGAGCTCGGCCTGCTCGGGGACCCCGCGGGGTGCGTGGGCTGTGGTCAATCGAGTCGCTTCCCAGCGTGGATCTTCCTAGCAAATAGTCGCCGATCAGCTCACTTGCAAACAGTTACGGTGGGGAGCGCGCGCGACTCGGCCTTCTGTCCTGCTGGATGCCTCTTAAAATGTACGGGAAGTGGAGATGCGCAAGGAAAAAGTCATTGTTTCCCCGCACCGTGAAGTTGAAAAGGAGAAGGAAATCTTTCTTGCAGCAGTGTGTGGTGTGTCTGCTTCGAGGAGCGGCCTGTGCGGTGCTCTGGGAAAGCCTGCTGTCCAGGCAGATCTTCCCCCCGTCCACGTAGATTCCCCCTGCCTAGGTAGATCTCCTCCTGTCCAGGCAGATCTCCCCCAGGCAAATCTCCCCTGCCCAGGCAGATCTCCCCCTGTCCAGGCAGATCTCCCCCTGTCCAGGCAGATCTCCCCCTGTCCAGACAGATCTCCCTCTGTCCAGGCAGATCTCCCCCTGCCCAGGCAGATCTCCCCCTGTTCCCGTAGATCTCCCCCTGTCCCCGTAGATCTCCCCCTGTCCCCGTAGATCTCCCCCTGTCCCCGTAGATCTCCCCCGGTCCAGACAGATCTCCCTCTGTCCAGGCAGATCTCCCTCTGTCCAGGCAGATCTCCCCCTGTCCAGGCAGATCTCCTGTCCAGGCAGATCTCCTCCTGTCCAGGCAGATCTCCTGTCCAGGTAGATCGACCCCTGTCCCCGTAGATCTCCCCCTGTCCAGACAGATCTCCTTTTGTCCAGGCGGATCTCCCCCTGCCCAGGCAGATCTCCCCCTGCCCAGGCGGATCTCCCCCTGTCCAGGCAGATCTCCCCAGCCCCGCAGGGAGGAAGCGCGCGCCCCGCGTGCGGGAGCTGTCGGCGAGTGCTGCGGGAAGCTTTGAGGGAGGAGAATTTATAGCCGTGGACTGCAGGAGGGAACAGGTGGTGGCAGGTGGGCGGGCGTCCCTCGGCTTCCCTCTCAGCACCTTCCCACCCTGGGAACCGCGCGGGGCCGGGCGGGGGAAGGGAGGGCGACGCACAGCACAATTCTGACACGACTGCCTTGGTCTGTTGAGGTTTCTCCAAAGCTATGTCCAGCACTAACGCACCATCTGGAGCCGCCTGGCTGTCCCCGAAAGAATAACAAGCTGGGGGTGCGGGGAGCGCTTTGACCATCTTTTCCCATGTCAGCAGGCAGCTTATGGATCAAAAAAGAACACTTCACCGCGGCTTTTTAAGTTATTAGAAACGGTTGCTTTTGACATTGTGAGATACATCTCAAGTGTAGCATAACAGGGCTGAGCTATACTGAGACGTGTGACCATCTGGCATAATGGTGATCTGGTACACGGACATTTTGATGGTATCTAGTAAGTGAATTGGGACAAATTATTAATATCACTATGCAACTAATTTGGCTATTTTCTGTGAAATAACATATCAAAAGGTATTAATGTGTACATCCAAAGCCATATTCTTCTAATTTTGTGCGTGGATTACATGATTTCAGATGCCTAGGCAAATTATTCAGTGTCTATATGTTATTTCCCTTGTTCATAAATGTTTGTGGGATACACAGGAAATGATCACTAATTCCTTAGTTTTTTTTCCATTTAAATCTAATAAAACCAATAATACACATATTTGTGCAAAGTGAAAACAGCTATATAATTACGAAGTTTTAAAAGATAATTTCTAAAGGTAGATCGTTTTTCCCCTCTCATTTTTCAAGGCTGCAGATACTTCGTACAACTTAAATATTCCATTTGCATCACGTGTCCTAAGGAACAAATCATACTTTCACCCATGAGAATCAGTATATGATGTATATAGAGAAACCATTAATTTGATGCTCTCATGTCAGCTTGTTCATTATTTGTGAGAAGACCCAAGAGGCAAGGAAACTAGTTCCAAATAGTTTCCATTCAAAACAATTTATGGGTATTTCAGGATATTTCCAAGCAAGCTCTCTGTCCTTCTGAAATCTGGACATACCAGTATTATTCTGGTATGTTTGTTGGATTAAGTCATCAACAAACTCTCACCAATCAAGAGTCCTTTAACTGTGACTTGCTTCTCCCTGCCATTACCTTGGACCAACCCCATTGTCACGACCCTGACTCCAACTCCTTCTGCCCATAAATAGTTGATTAATCCCAGCTGAAGCAGTGACAATGAAATGAAGTTGAATAACATGAAGACAATAAGATGCACTTGAACATTAATGACCTTCAACATGACAGATGTTGAGCACAGACTTTTGCACGGAGCCACTCAGCTCTGTTACTCTGGGTCATAACAGTCTTGGTTGCCAATAGCCCTCCTGTGATGGCAAAGTTGGTGCTGGCTAGTCATCAAAAAGGCAAATGTATTTGAGTTTTTGTGGAAATCTGCCCTTTTCGCTACTACCATTTCTCCTGTTCATTTATCTCCCTCTATGCTGCTCCATGGGATATTTCTTTACAAAACCATCCCTGGGCTTTTTCCCATCACTATTGTCCAACATATTAATGAGATGGATGGTTTTATAAGCTATGTTTCAGAAATGTCTTGGGGTGGGGCTGGGAAGATGGCTCAGTGGTAGAGCGCTTGCCTTGCATGCCTGAGGCCCTGGGTTTGATTCCTCAGTACCACATAAGCAGAAAAAGAAAAAAGCCAGAAATGGCGCTGTGGCTCAAGTGGTAGAGTGCTTGTCTTGAGCTGAAGAGCTGAGGGACAGCGCCCAGGCCCAGAATTCAGGCCCAAAATCGGACCCCCCCAAAAAAAGAAATGTCTTGGGATATCGGGGTGTCGTGGAAAAATAAGGACACCAACTCACAAAGAAATCAGCAAGGCAAAGTTTACTGCTGCAGAAGGGTGCACTACTGACAAGTAACAAAAGTGTGAAGCCTGTGTGTCTCTGATCATATAAAATAATATTTAGCGAAAAGAACTCCAGGAAAGGGAAAAAAGAGGGTTTTTTTTCTTTGTTGTTGTTTTTGTTTTCTTTTTTTTGGGGGGGGGGGTCCGGTCATGGGGCCTGAACTCTGGGCCTGGGCGCTGTCCCTCAGCTCTTCAGCTCAAGGCTAGCGCTCTACCACTTGAGCCACAGCGCCACTTCCGGCTTTTTTTCTTTTTGCTTATGTGGTGCTGAGGAATCGAACCCAGGGCCTCTGGCATGCAAGGCATGCGCTCTACCACTGAGCCACCTTCCCAGCCCCTGTTTTCTTTTCTTTTTGTCTTCTTATTTCTTTTGTCTGTCTTTGGGAGGGTAAAAGGGGTCACAGAAATGGAGGAACAAAGGGTGAACAAATGCAGCAGTGGCACTCTCTAGATACTATGCTGAAAATTAACTATACAGCTTGGGGATGGGAGGGAAAAACTGGGAAAGAGCAAGGGAAGGGATGATATTGTCCAAAAAGAAATGTCCTCTTTACCTGGCTTATATACATGTAACCCCTCTGAATATAACCATTACAATAACAATAAAAAATAAAAAGTAAAAAAGGGAAACTAGTAACTATAGCCAAACGCTGGTGGCCCATGCCTTTAATCCTAGCTACTCAGGAAGCTGAGATCTGAGAATCCTGGTTCAAGGCCAGCCCCAGCAGGAAAGTCTGTGAGACTCTTACCTACAATTAACCACCAGAAAAACCAGAAGTGGAGCTGTGGCTCAAAGTGGAGAGCCTGTCCCTAAGCTCTTTGGCTCAAAGAAGGCGCTCTCCACTTTGAGCCAAAGAGCTTAGGGACAGAGCCCAGGCCCTGAATTCAAACCCCACAACCACAATCAAAACCAAAAACCTAATAACTATACTAAAATATTTTGAAATGTTAAAAAATAATGAAGCCAAGTAAGCAAGATAGCTGGCAGGCAGATGGCCAGCTTTTACCTTTAATGCAAGAACTTAGGTTCACAATCTTGTACCATTGGTTAATTTCAGAGGGGTTAACAGTTTAATCTGAGCAATCAACCAAAACCAAGACACTTGTATAAAATGTGTTAGAAAAACAAATCTTATTCATCTGGTGTTCTACCACTTGAGGCCTGCCTCTAGTCCTTGGAAAGACAATTCTTTTTTTTTTTTCTTTTTTTTTTTATCAGTTGTGGGGCTTGAACTCTGGGTCTGGGCGCTGTCCCTCAGCTTTTCAGCTCAAGGCTAGCACTCTACCACTTGGGCCACAACACCAATTCCAGTTTTCTGGTGGTTTATTGGAGAAAAGAGTCTCACGGACTTTCCTGCCCAGGCTGGCTTTGAACCACCATTCTCAGCCTCCTGAGTAGCTTGGATTACAGGTGTGAGCCACCGGTGCCTGGCAACAATTCTTATAAACAGGATGTGATAAACTAAAATAGTTTCTTGTAAGATAGCAACTACCCTTAAAATGGTGGTGCTTATGTCAAACAACCACTTTGACAAGAAAGATTCTAATCTCTCCATATGTGCCCAGGGCTGGTGAGAGGAGCCCAACCAAAGCATCAAAAACATAACTTGAGCAGGCAGCAGTGACGTACGCCTATAATTCTAGGTACTCAGGAGGCTGAGATGGAAGGATCACAGTTCAAAGCCAGCAAGGCAAGAAAGTCTGTAAGACTCTTATCTCTAACTAACCACCAAACCTCAGAGGTGTCTCAAGTGGTAGAGTGCCAACCTTGAGTGAAAAAGCTAAGGGACAATGCTCAGGCACAGAGTTCAAGCTCCAGTACCAGAACTTGAAGAGAAAAGATCACAACTGTGACCAGTCAATACCTATACCTCAATTCTGTCTTCTACTATATGTGCTTCCTGTCTAAGCATGATACTGGCCAAAATACTTGAACCTACATGGTTTCAATTCTAGAATCATAAATAAAAGCTAAGAGATTTAAACTAAATTGTTGAAACTCTCTTCTCCTTCCCCACTCTCTGCTGGAATATGAAAGCTGGGCCTCAAACTTGCTGGTCTTGCTTGCTCAGCTGGCACGCTTCCAC